CGCGCGCCGGCTGGGGCGGCGGCGCGGCGCGGGCGGGCGCGGGCGGCGCGGCGGGCCGCGCGGGCTGCGGCGGCGCGGCGGGCCGCGCGGGCTTGGGCGGCGGCTCGGCGCGGGCCGGCACGGGCGGCGCCGCGGGCCGCGCGGGCTGGGGCGGCGGCGGCGCGGCAGCGCGCGCGCCCGGCGGCGGCGGCGCGGGCGGCCGCGGCGGCCGCGGCGGCGCCGCGGCCTCGACGGGCGCGTAGACGACGGGCGCCGGCGCGGGGCCGCCGAGCGCCGCGAAGGGGTCGGCCGCGTCCGGCGCGGGCGTCGGCGCGAGCAGCGCGTCGCCGAAGACGTCGCCGCCGGAAACCGACGACTCGCGCGGCGCGAAGAGGCCCCCGAGGGGCGTCTGCTTGCCCACGGGCGACCGCGGCGAGCCGAGCGGCGACGGCGACGGCGCGGCCCAGGAGCTCGCGGCGCCGAGGGAGCCGCCGCCGTCCTCGGGCGGCGGGCCCATGCCCACGGTCGTCGCGTAGGTCGCGACGCGGGCGTCGATCCTGTGCTCCTCGGCCCACGCGCTCGACGCGCGGCGCGCGCGCGTGAGCACGTCGGCGCCGCCGGGCTTCGTGCCGCAGACCTGGAGCGACCGGCGCCGGCCGCCCGTGTGGCTCACGAGGGGCGGCGCGCCGGCGACGAGGATCTTCGACTGGCGCTTCTCGCGCCTCTTCTTCTTCGGGGCCGCGACCGGCTCGGGCCGCCGCGGCGACCCCGACGGCGTCGACTCGGGGCTCCCGACGGGGTCCGCGGCGGGGCTCGCGGCGGGCGCCGCCGCCTCGTGCTCGAGCCGGTCGAGCCGCGCCATCGTCTCCGCGATCGACGGCGCCTTGCTCGGCGCGGCCGTCGCGCCGCCGGACGCGGGCCGGCTCGGCGGCGGCGCGGCGGGCGCCGGGCCCGCCGCGGCCTCCTTCTGCTTGGCCAGCGCCTTCTCCTGCATGGCCCAGAGCATGTCCGCGCCGGCGTTCGACTTGCGCTTCATCGCCGCGGCGGGCGCCGCCGCCGCGGGCGCCGCGGGGGCCGCGGGCGCCGCGGGCGCCGGCGCCGGCGCGGAAGCCTCGGGCTCGGCTTCGGATTTCTTTTTGAAGAGGCTGAAGCGGCCCATGGTTTCTGTACGAGCCCTGGCGCGCGGAGGACGGCGGGGTCTTGATGGCTGGCGCGCGCGGAGATGTCCGCGCGGCGGTCGGCGTGCGGCGGCGGAGAGGCGGTCTGCGAGCTCGGAGGAGGTCGGAGGCGGCGGTCGGCAGCGCGGACGACGGTCGGCGGCGGATGGCTGGCGCGCGGAAGACGGCGCGACGACGGCTCAAGCCGATTCGATCGTCTCGCTGCCGGCGTCTGCGCTGTGGCAAGCGCCGCCGCCTGTGGCAATTCCCCACTGCGAGCGGCACTGGCGCCTGCGCAGGACGCCGCCGTCCACTGGCGCCTCCCGCGCCTGTGAGACCCCTTTGAGCCTCTTGTCCCCCGCGGTTCCTCCCGGCCCCCCTACGTTTAGAGACGCGTCAAGGCAATTTTTTTGCGGGGCGCGCATGGCGGACGAGGCCTGCTCCCGCTCGCGGTCGCGCGTCGCGCGCGCCCTCATCAAGTCGCGGGGCCTGGTGCCGCGCCACGAGCTTTTCGGAGGCGGGCTCCCCGATGCGTGCCCGCTGGTTCACGACATCTTCGGCGCGCACGAGGCGGCGAAGAAGGCCGTGCGGCACAACGTCTGGCGCTGCAAGTTCTGCGGCAAGTCCTTCGTGAGCGAGGCCTGGCTCGACAACCACCTCGCGCTCAGGCACGCCGACTCGCTGCCGTCCAACGGCACGGCCTACTGCCTCGGCGACCTCTGCGACGTGCTCGACTGCGCGGCGTCGCCGCACCTGGCGAGCACGCCCCTGGACCGCGACCGCCGCGACCGCGTCGACGACGACGACCGCGAGCGCCGGCGGCGCCGCCGCGGCCGCGCGTTCAAGCGGTCGTCGGAGCTCGCGACGCCGTGCGACGCCGCGTCGCTCGAGGCCGCCAAGGCGCGCTGCCGCGCCGTCGTGTCGGCCTGCTTCCCGCCGGACGGCGGGCCCCACGCGGGCCTCTGCGAGCCGCGCTGCTCCAACGGCCGCGTTCTCGTCGACCGCGGCGGCCGCGGCGGCCGCCCCGACGACGGCGGCGCGCCGGGCGGCGGCGCGCCGCGCGTCTACGCCGCCTTCCTCGTCGTCTTCTACGGCATGCTCCTCTACTTCTACAAGCAGCGCCGCGACGCCGCCGGCCGCGCGCCGGCCCCCTCGCGGCGCGCGGCCCCGGCGAAGCGCGCGGCGCGCCGCGACTAGAGCGCGATTGTTACTACGGCACATTTTACCCATGTTTCCTCGGCTTCGGCCCGGCTTCGGCCGCAGCCCGAGCAGCGCGAGATCGCACCCCCCGGGTGCCCGCCTCAGGCGACCGACGACGCGGCGCGCGAGTCTCGCATTTCCGAGCCGACGCTTGCTCGGGCTCCGTCAAGGGCTCGAACGCACGCCTTGGCGTGTGGCATGACGGCCATGGCAACGAGCCAGGACTGGTGCGCCGGCCCCGCCGCCGCCTCCCGCCGCGACCCATGACGACCCGCGCAGGCATGGGCTCCCAAACGCCTTGCTCAAGAGCCGAGAGCTCGCCTCCGAGCGGCGGCGGCTCGTCGTCTTTCTGGACTACGACGGCACGCTGACGCCCATCGTCGAGGAGTCGGCGCGCGCGCGGCGCCGGCAGCACCCCGGCCCCGGCGACGCGCGCGACGACGCGATAAAAACGGGCGAACGCGCGCGCGCGCGCGCGACGGCCCGAAACCGCCCGAAACCGCCGCAGGCGTCCGCGCGCATGTCCGCGGCGATGCGCGACGCGCTGCGGCGGCTGGCGAGCCGCGCGACGGTCGCCGTCGTGAGCGGCCGCGCGCGGGAGAAGATCCGGGAGTTCGTGGACCTCGGCGACCTCTACTACGCGGGGAGCCACGGCTTCGACATCGACGGGCCCGGCGGGCTCCGGCACGCGGTGGCGCAGCACACCCTGCCCCTCCTCGCCGAGGCGCGGCAAGCCCTCGAGGGGAAACTCGGCGCCGTCGAGGGCTGCGCCCTCGAGGACAACCGCTTCTCCGTGTCCGTGCACTGGCGCAAGTGCGCGCCGCGGCGCGACGCCATCGAGCGCGTCGTCGACGACGTGCTCGCGTCGCCGCCCTTTGCGGGCGCGCTCCGCAAGAGCGAGGGCAAGTGCGTCTTCGAGCTCCGGCCGGACGTCGCCTGGGACAAGGGCTCCGCCGTGCTCTACCTCCTCGACATGCTCCGCGCGCGCGACCAGGCCGGCGGCGCCGACGCGCCCGAGTCGTGGTACCGGGGCGTGCTGCCCGTCTACGTCGGCGACGACACGACGGACGAGGACGCCTTCCGCGCCCTGTCGCGCTACGACGCCGTCTCCGTCCTCGTCGCGCCCAAGGCCGAGGCCGAGCGGCCGCGGCTCACGCACGCGACGCACACGCTCCGCGACGTCGACGACGTCCTCGCCTTCCTCGACGCCCTCGCGAGCATCCCGCCCGTCGCCTCATGACACTAATTAATCGGTCGCGCCCGCCCGGAAGGACGCGGGGGGCGGGCGGCTCGCCGGGGCGCGTCGCTACAACGAGGCGCCTCCTCTCCTAGCAGGATGAACTTAGCAGGCTAGGTGGAATGCGCACTTGTTCCCCCCGTAGACCCATGCGAACTCGACGATGAGCCCCGCGGCGTCGTCGGGAAGGGACCGACGATAGCATTTGGACACTGCGCCGATGAGAGCACGACGATTCCGGCGCGCATATTCCTTGAAACCGCCCGCCGACTCGATCGACGACAAGAGCGCGGCACCCGATGGTACGAATTCCTTTCGAGGAGCCGGGTTCCTGGAGCCAGGCCCGCTCCAGCCCTGGAACAGAAGTTCATAGCGACGCATGGTGCTCACGCTCATCTCGGCTCCAGCTTGAAGCATGATTTTAGCGATGTCCCGATTCCATGCCTGCAGGGCAAGCTCGAGGGGAGTCTCCCCACCGTTGGTACGTTCGTCGATGCGGGCACCAGCCTTGAGCAGACGCGCAACGCACGCCTTCGAAGACGAAAAACATTGCTTCTCCATCATATCGGCTTCATCTTTCTGACGGTGGACGTTTTGAAGGTGACCTTTGAAGTCATAACGTGTTTGGAACTTAGGTCGGAGCATCACAAAGTGTAGCGGCGTGTGGCCAGTGCAGTTCCTCGCATGAGGATCTGCGCCTGCGTCCAACAACACATTCACGGAGGCATAATCGCAGAGGCCACCGAGCCTAGCCGTGTGGTGAAGCGGCGTGTAACCGTGTTTATCCGACGTGTTTACACTGGCTCCGCTCTGTATCAACGACTTCAACGCCAAAGCGCGCCTGCGGCATTTTTCCGGGCACACTTGACCATCTCTTTTAGCGTATATGTCGTGGGAGAGAGCGAGGAGCTGCGAGTCGGCGCTCATCGACACTCACTTCGCGCTCGAGCTACAAGTAGCTGGTCGGATGTAGCGCGCCCTGTCAGCTGAGGGCACGGGGATAAATCAAAGCAGTGCCATGCTTGACCAGCGACGAGTCCGGGGCAACGTCGGCTAGGTGGCGTACTATTGTAGTAGCACCGTATGGAAGCTGCCCGCTGTGCTATCTGAGCCTGCGCCACCGAGCCGCCACCGCGACCATGGGCATCAACATCCTCGTGCTCACGTTCGAGTACGACGCCTTCACCTTCAGCGGCAACGGCGTCTACGCCCAGTCGCTCGTGCGGGGCCTCGAGATGGTGGAGGGCGTGAGCGTGGACGTCGTCTGCGGCGGCCCCTTCGGCGCCGAGAACTGCCAGCCGCCGAGCAAGGCGGCCGTCGTCGTGAACCTGCCGCGCTGGGGCCACCTCGACGCGAGCTGCTGCTTCCGCGAGTTCGCGGCCCAGGTGAACGCGCGCCTCGACGAGTACTACGAGAGCCGCGCGTGGCCGGACCTCGTGCTCGGCGTCGACTGGCACGTGCTCCAGGTCTACGAGCACCTCTCGCGGAAGAAGCCCCTGCCCATGGTCTACCTCAACTTCCGCGTCTTCTCGCGGTCCGGCCCGCCGGGCGCGTCGCAACACGGCGCGGCCTTCTTCAAGGCCCAGGAGTTCGCGATGATGGACCGGTCCTGGCTCACGCTCGCCCTCAGCGAGACCGACGCGGCCTGCCTCCGCGAGCTCCACCCGAACGCCGAGGTCCGCGTGCTCCTGCCGCCGATCCGCGCGGACGTCATGGCGCGCGCGCAGCGGCCGCTGAGGAAGGCGGACGTGCCCGAGCGGCACCTCATCACGTGCTGCGTGCGCCTGAGCGACGAGAAGGAGCCGGAGCGCTTCGTGCGGCTCGTGGAGAACCTGGCGGAGCGCAAGGCCTTCGACGGCGTCTTCGGCTACAAGGTCGGCCTGCGGCCCGTGCTCGTCACGGGCCGCTGCGACGTGGACACGCCCCTCGTGCGCCGCTTCCTCGACGCCCACCCGGAGACGGACGTCTACGCGTTCCTCGACGCCGAGGGCCTCGAGGAGCTCTACCGCAAGTCGCTCCTCCACGTGCACCCGCCGGCCTACGACCCGTTCGGCATGGCCGTCGCCGAGGCCGCGGCCTTTGGGGCGCCCACGGTCTTCCTCAAGGGCGCCGACGTCGGCGCGAAGACGATCCTGCAACGGGGCGACACGCCGGAGCTCGACCCGCGCACGGGCAAGGAGCTCTTCGACCAGGACGCGTTCTTCGAGTTCGACCTCGACGACGACCACGCGGGCTACGTCGCGCCCGAGGACCGGCCGACGACGGCGGACCTCGAGCAGCTCGACGAGTTCGACCGGCGGCGCTGGATCCACAAGCACGAGGACGCGGTCACGGAGCTCCTGCGCCTCGTCCGCGACGAGTCGCGGCTCCGCGACGTCGGCCGCCTCGCGAAGAAGCGCGCGCTGCCCTGGACGGAGAAGGCCCACGGCGCGCGGCTCATGGACTTCCTCGTGCCCATCCTCTCCGAGGCCCAGGAGGCGAAGCGCCAGCTCCAGGTCAAGGAGGAGCGCGTCCGGCCCAAGGGCGGCCGCGTGCGCCTCCAGAACTTCCGCCGGCCCGAGCCCGCGCCCATCAAGAAGTGCTGGGTCTAAGCACGGGCGAAGCCTACTGGACGGCGCCGTCCGCGTCGTCGGCGCCGTCGCGCTTCCGGGGCTCGAAGGGGACGCACGTCGCGAGGACGGCGAGGCACAGCGCGAGGCAGAGGCACGCGGCGAGCAAGATGTCGGACATGGTCTCGACGAGGCGGAGCTTGGCGTCGAGGGACGCCGCGGCGTCGTGGTCGAGCGTGTAGGTGCGGTCGATGTAGCCCATGGGCACGACGCGGCCGAGCTCGTTCCGCGCGCCGGCCGCGCGCCGCGGCGGGAGCGTCCAGTTCGCGGGCGATAGCGCGCAGACGGGGTCCAGCGACGGGAAGAGGTCCCGGAGGATGTCGCCGAGGACCGTCGGCAGGCCGTCGTCGAGGCCCGGCAGGCCGTAGTCGAACAAATTCGCCGAGAACTGGAGCCGCTCGCGCGCGGCGAAGACGACGCCAGACCGGGGGTCGACGTCGATGGCCGTGTTGTGCTTGTCGCGGTCCGGGTCGAGGCCGACCACAGAATCGCGGAGCGCCGGGTCCGCGTCGAGGAAATGGGGCAGGGAGCCGTAGAGCGGGAAGCCCGCCGCGCGCGTGAGGTTGAGGAGGCCGTAGGCCGTGACGAGCTGGTCCGCGGCGCCGTTCCAGGGCGCGCCCGCCGCCGCGGACGGGAAGACGCGGGCGCGGTCGATCTGGTAGCGGTCCAGCACCGTGGACCGCCGCACGACGTGGCCGTCGGCGTCCGTGCGCCGCAGGGGCAGCGCGCGCCAGATGGAATCGATGAACATGTGGAAGCCTTTCGGCCCGCGCGACCGGCCCGCGAAGGGCCCGCGCCAGGGCGCGAAGGCGCGGCCCGCGGAGCGCCGGAAGGCGCCGAGCGACGCGTAGTAGGCGCCCCCGCCGAAGTGGGCCCTCCGCCAGGCGCCGCCGGCCTTGAGCACGGACGCGCCGTAGCCCTCGACGCGCGCGGCGTCCCGGTCGCCGTACGCCAGCGCCCAGCCCGCGGCGGCCGCCGCGGCCTCGCCCGCGGCCTCGTCCATGGCGTCCCAGGCCGGGTCCTGGGGTTCGCAGGACCCGACGGTGTGCGTCGACTCGACGGGCTTCGTCGACGGCGTCCGGCAGACGCGGACGGCCGCCGCGCCCACGTACCGCCCGTAGCGCAACGCCTTGGCGCCCGCTTTGCGCACGCCGGCGTCGACGCGGTCCTTGGCGCCGCAGAGGCGCCGGGTCAGCTCGTCGGACGTGTAGTTCGTCTGGAAGCCGGGCACGTAGGTCGTCAGCTCCGTGAGGAACGACGGCACCTTGTCGCGGAGCGGCGACGGCACGGCGTCGACGGCGCTCACGAGCGCCGCGAGCGTGGGGTCGTCCCAGCGGCCGAAGTGGAGGTCTTTGATCGCGCGCGTCACGAAGGGGCTGGCGCGGCTCCGGCCCTGGCCCTGGCAGAGGACGAGCTTGAGCGCGTACTTGGCGACGGCCGCGGTCGTCGCGTCGCCCGCGCCGAGGCCGTCGACGGCCTCGCCGAGGGAGGCGACGACGACGTCCGCCGTGGTGACCGTGTCCGTCTCCCGGCAGCCGTCGCAGGACCGCGACGGGTCGAACTCGTACCAGTCGCGCTCGAAGTACTCGACGTCCTTGCCGCCCGATCTCCAGTCGACGTCGAACTTGGCGTACTTTTCGCGGTAGGCGTAGGGCCCCTTCTCCACGACGACGGGCCGCGCGCCGGCGTAGGCGACGGCGTCGGCGTTCGTCACGTCGAAGTAGTAGACGTCGTAGGCGATGACGGTGCCGGCGTCGGAGCTCAGCCACGCCGCGTACGACGGGCCGTCCGGCGACGACAGATCCAGGGCCGTCGAGATGCCGCGGCGGAACCTCCAGTCGACGACGGCCGGCCCGACGAAGGCGACGACGAGAAAGACGCCGGCCCAGGCGCCGAGCGTCGCGCGCCGGTACTTCGTGCAGGCCCCGCAGCGCACGGACCGCAGGAACTCGCTGCCGTAGCGGCTCTTGCTCCCGCTGTCCTGCCGCTCCTCGCCGCCGAGGGCGACGTAGCCGCCCCCGGCCTCGAGGGCGCCGGGGCCGCCCGCCGCTCCGAGGGCTGCCGGGCTTGCCATCGTCGATTGGAGGAACACCTCGTTCACGGCGAGAATCGCGCGCTTCGAATGACGTTGTTGAGGCTTCCGAGTCGAGGTTGAACCCTTTCACGGCAAAATTGACGCGCCCGCCTACTCCGGCCGCGGGCCCGTCGCGCGCGCCGGTCGCGTCGACGCCGGGCGGGCGGTACAGAACAAGGGTTATTGGAGGGGAGCGGGTGCTGGTGGTCTCTTGTTTGCGTGTCGTTCGAACGGGCAAGGGGTGTCTTGAGGTTCGGCGCGCCTCCCGCGTGAGCCGCGGCGGGCGTTCGAGGCGCCCCGCGCCCCGCGTCGGTCCGACGCGGGGCTTTCGGGGGCGGTGTTGGGTGGGGGGGCGCTAGCGGGCCGGGTCCGTCTCCGCCGCCTCGCCCTCCTCGGGGATGCCCGCGGCGATCGTCGCGTCGATCGTCTTCCGCGCGACGCGCTTGAGGCTGTCCTGGAGGTCGAGCTTGTCGCCCGTGACGCGGTAGACCTCGAGGACGGCGCTCAGGTCCGGGTCCTTGCGCGCGACGCAGAGCTGGAGCGCCGCGGCCTCGACGTCGTTGAGGCACTCGGCGGCGATCTCGCCGAAGACGCTCGCGAAGTCGTGGCCCTTGGCCGTTTGCGGCGGCGCGTCGCCGGGGTTCGCCTCGACGGGCGGCGGGTTCGACAGCTTGCGCTCGCGCTTGGCGACGCGCATGACCGTGTCCACGAGGTCGTCGACGTCCTGGCCGTCGACGTAGACGTCGTACGCCGCGAGGAGCCGCGCGTCGCGCGACGCGACGAGGCGCTCGAGGTGCGCGAGCTCCTCGCCCGCGAGCTTGCCGTCGTCGACGAGGCAGGCGATGAGCTCGCTGAGCTCGCGGAGCGCCTCCGCGTCCGGCGCCTCGGCGCCCGCCGGGTCCGCGGCCTTGAGGACGACGTCGGCCTCCGCGGGCGGCGCGGGCGGCGCGGCCGCGGCCGCGGGGCCGGCCGCCGCCGGCGGCGGCGGGGGCCGGTCCGCGGTCGAGGCGCCGTGCTTGGCGAGGGCCGCGAGGGACGCGAGGAAGTCCTCGAGCGCGCCGCCGCGGCCGTAGGCCTCGAGCGCGCCGTTGACGCGCGCGTCGTCCTCGAGCGTGAGCCGCAGCAGCGCCTTCGCGTGGGACTCGTCGATGGTGCCGCTGTTCATGAGCCAGGCGATGCACTCGCGGAGCACGTTGAGCTTCGCCTCGGCGTCGACGCCCGCGAGCGACGGGCCCTCGGCGTCCGCGGCGGCGGCGGCGGCGGCGGCCGCGGGCGCGGGCGCGGCGCCCGCGGCGGCGCCGTAGGCACTGCAGGCGTCGAGGAGCGCGTTGCGCAGCTCGCCTCGGTCGCCGTCGATGGAGTAGACGTCGTAGGCCGCGCGCGCGAGGCGGCAGAGCGCGACGTCGATGGACGTCGCCTCCTCGAGGCCCTCGTTCTGCAGCGCGACGAGCACGGCCTTGGCGGCGACGGCGGGGAGCTGGCCCGCCGTGAGCAGGTCGTCGACCTCGCGGCAGATGGCGCCCCGGAAGAGCTGGAGCTCCTCGGGCTCGTCGTCGTCGTCGTCGGACGACGCCGACTCCTCGTCGCCCTCGGGGATCGTCTCCGTCGCCACGGACCGGCCGGGCCCCGCGGCCCGGTCCGGCGACTGGAGGTAGCGCGCGTTCGGCGGCGCGGGCGCGACGGCGCCGTCGTCGCCGGATTCGTCGTCGTCGTCGTCGTCGTCGTCGCCGCCGCCGTCGCCGCCGTCGTGTCGCGCGGCGACGTGGAGCAGCGTGTCAAAAAGTTCGTCGACGTCCTCGTCGTCGGCGAAGACGTCGAAGGCGGCGAAGACGGCGGGGTCCTTGTAGAGCACGAGCGTCTGGAGGTAGCGGCACTTGTCCATGTCCAGCAGGTTCCGGCAGAACATCTCGTCGATCGCGTGCAGGAGCCGCGCGGCCGTGTCGTGCTCCGCGGGGCCGTCGAAGGACGACGGGTCCTCGGTCTTGACGCTGAGAAAGTCGGCGGCGACGCCGCGCACGAGGTCCGCCAGGTACTCGGCGTCCTGCGCCGTCGCCGCGACCGTGTACGCCGCGAGGACGACGGTGTCGCGCCGCTCGGCCAGCCCCGAGACGACGGCGGCCTCGCGCTCGCTGAGGCGGCCCGACGTCTCCAGCAGCTTGGAAAATTTCACGATGAGGTGCACGAGCTTGGCCACCGCCGCGTCCTCGCCGGCGCCGGGCGCCGGCGGGGCCGGATCCGCCGGCGCCGGCGCGCGGACGCGGTCCGCGGGCACGCCGCGGACGACGCCGTCCGACACGGCCTGCGGCACGCCGGCCAGCTCCCGCGGGGCCGGCGCGCCGGCGTCGGCGTCCTGGCGGAGCTCGCCGCCGACGCAGAGCACGCCGTAGGCCGGCGCCGTGAGGCAGCCCGGGTGCGCGCACGCGACGCTCAGCGGCACGAGGACGCCCGTGTCCGACGCGATCAGCGCCACGGGCGCCGTGTCCGGCGCCGTCGGGATCGCGAAGGCCGCGCAGATGAGCGCGCGCAGCTCCGCGATGTCCGTGCCGTGCACGACGGACACGAGGCGCACCGGCGCGGAGCCCACGGACAATCGGACGATCGTCATCGGCGACTCCATGGCGGCGGAGCACTCACCTAGAGTGCGAGGCGGTGAGTTTCATGGTTGGGGGCGAGCGGAGGAGAGGGTGCGGGGGTGGCAGCGTCGCGGCAGGGGCGACGGCGACGGCGAGCGGCGAGCGGCGACGACGCCGAGGCCGGCGCTCCGCCCGGCGCCGCGCGCGCCGGCCGGGGTCGCAGCGACGGCGCGGGCGGCGACGCGCGGCCTCCGCGGGCGGCAATGCACGACCGTCGCGGCCGCGGGCCGGGGTCGGCACCGACCGCGCGAGCTGCCGACCGCACGCACTCGTCGAGACACGTGTCGTCAGAGCGCTCTCCGGCGCGGCCACGGCCCGAAGCGGCGCGTGACGATCCGGCGCCGTCGAGGTCACGTCGCAGCCGTAATTGCCATGGGGGAAAGGGCAGCGCACACGCACCTTGATACGGCGGACGGTAGCCGAAGCGCTTTATCGCCTCAGTTCGAGCTTGTGTTCGAAGTCAAAAAAAAAAAATTCATCGCTGTTTTGTGGACGTCTCGTTGACGGCATCATAGGCCGATTGCAGCGGCGTTCGCAGTCGCTCGGCATGCGCAGAGTCCACCAAAAATCACCACCTCAGTTATACGCCCCTCCGCCCGCGCGTCCACAAACGCGGCCGCCACGTCCGGGAGAAAAGCACCCCCACACAAACCCGAGGGGGTTGACCGCCGGTATGCCTGGTAGTATGCGCCCGCTATGCGGGCTTTATGCGGGCTTTATGCGGGCTTTATGCGGGCTTTATGCGGGTGGTATGCGGGTGGTATGCGGGTGGTATGCTGGTGGTATGCTGGTGGTATGCGGGTGGTATGCGTCTGCTATGCCGGTGGTATGCGGCTGCTATGCCGGTGGTATGCGGCTGCTATGCAGAGGAGCCAGGATACGCCTAGGATACCCGTAACGCAGTCTCACTCTGATCTGGGTTATGTCCCCATTTTCGCGCTGTGAGCCACCGCGCTACACCTGCTAGCTGTGCGCAGCTACACCGCTGCGAGCCTGCGCGCAGAAGCCGCCCGAATGGACGGCGGCGACGAGCAAGGGCAAGCCGAAGTGCCCCGCGTGCAACGGCACGGGGGTGCAGATCACCGCCAACGGCCAGCCCGTCCTGTTCTGTTTGATCCACAAGCAGTGCTCCCACTCCACGGATCAATGCCATATAATGGCCAAGCTCGCTCGCGACTGGAACGACACCGACACCGGCCGCGGAAAGGGCCGAGGCCGCGGCCGCGGCCGCGGCATACGACGCACTCGACTCCGGCGAGCTCGTCCTCCATCACGTCCCATCGAAGTTCAACCCGGCGAACACTCTCACTGCCGCCGAGGACGAGGATCGCTTCCGGCGCTCGCTCGCAATGATCGCCGGGCTCCGCGTCAACGACAAGAACGAGCTCGTCGACCTTCCTCTCGCCTAGGCCTGGCGGCCCGCGGCCCTACCGAGCCGACCTGGCCAACGGGCCGCTCCTCCCGCCCGCCTCCCTGCACGCCGCGGCGTGCACAACACTCCCGCGCCTGAGGCCGCGGGCGACCCCGCGGGGTCGCCCGCCGGAGCCCGCGCCTACTTCCTCCCTGCACGCCGCGGCGTGCACAACACTCCCGCGCCTGAGGCCGCGGGCGACCCCGCGGGGTCGCCCGCCGGAGCCCGCGCCTACTTCCTCCCTACGCCCGGAACAGCGACAACCCTGCGGGCTTCTACGCCGGTTCCCGCTCTTCAGGCTCAACACGGCGTGCCCGCAGGGCACGCCGCACCGCCGTTCCTCCCCGGCGCGGTGCCGTGGCACCCGCCCGCCTCCCTGCACGCTGCGGCGTGCACACTCTCATTCCCCGGCCTGGCTTCGCAGTCCCCGCTCCGCCTTTCCGGCCGCGGCGGGGGAGCAGAGGAGCCAGGATACGCCTAGGATACCCGTAACGCAGTCTCACTCTGATCTGCTATGCCGGTGGTATGCGGCTGCTATGCTGGTGGTATGCGGCTGCTACGCTGGTGGTATGCTGGTGGGCTGCTATGCTGGTCTTATGCGCCTGCTATGCTGGTGGTATGCGGCTGCTATGCTGGTCTTATGCGGCTGCTATGCTGGTGGTATGCGCCTGCTATGCGCCTGCTATGCGTCTGCTATGCGCCTGCTATGCGCCTGCTATGCGTCTGCTATGCGCCCGCTATGCGTCTGCTATGCGGCTGCTATGCGGCTGCTATGCTGGTGTATGCCGTGGCTGGTGTATGCCTGGTGGTCGGCCCCCTCTGACACAAACCCACCCCGAGGAGCGCGCGCCGGCGCGCGTCCTCCGCCCCCCGGCGTGCACGTTCCAAAAAGACAAAACTACACCCCCCCCTTCGCGGGCTTCGCCTCCCGCGGCGGGAAGTACTTGAGGCGGATCGTCATGAGCGCGTCGTCGGGCGCGACGTCCGCGTCGTCGGCGAGCGTGAGGCTCTCGGGCGTGCGGTGCCAGACGAGCCTGTTGTCGAGGACGACGACGTCGGCCTGGCGCAGGGCCGGGCGGTAGGTCGTCGCCCGGCCGCATCGCGCCGCGTCGGCGATCTCCGGCTGGCCCGTCGGGTGCTTGACGTACTCCTTGGGCGTGACGAGCGTCGTCGGCTGCGCCGCGGGGCAGACCATGTCCGTCGGCGTCGGTCGCTCGCCGGCGTAGAGGAAGAAGACGGCGTCCCAGTGCTGCTTCCAGCGCACGTCCTGGTGCCAGTAGTTGGCCTTGCGGCCCGTGAGCCACTGGACCTGAAACATGTAGGACCCGCCCGCGCGCTCCGCGCCGTCGCCGTCGAGGACGTGGGCGAGGTCCCGGCGCACGAGGGCCGGCGCCGCCGCCAGGAAGGCCTCGAGGGGCGGCGCCACGGACCGCCAGAAGTCCGCGTCCGCGGACCGGTCCTTCTCGGAGAACGACACGAAGACTTTGCCGCCCGCGTCCAGGTTCGCGAGCACGCTGCCGTTGATGCGCGACTCGAGCTTGGCGCGCAGGGCCGCGACGAGCGGCGCCGTGCCGGCCTCGTCGGCGCCGTAGGTCACGAAGAACGGGTCGAAGCGCCGCGCCGTGGAGATGCGCTCCCGGGCCGGGCCGGCGGCGTCGGGCGCCGGGCCGGGCAGCGGCTGCGGCGCGGCGTCGACGACGGCGGCCATCGAGAGCTCGAGGGAGCTCGTGTGTGCGCCTGCGGTGCGCTGCGACGGCCGCTGCGTGCGGCCGGCGCACGGCTCGAATCGCGCTCTGGTTGTGGTGATTGAGCTCATGTTGCATCGATGTTGCACCGACTTCTCCTTCGTGATTGCGGCGCCTCGGAGACCGCGACGTACCCCTCGAGGGTTACCCGCCGCTCGCGTCTGCTCGCTAGTTGCCCTCGGCGGCCTTCTTCATCTTGGCGAGCTCGTCCTCGACGGCCGCGTCGCCGGGCGTCGCCGGGAGGGCCTTGGCCTCGGGCGCCGCGTCGGAGCCCGCCGTGAGCTGGCGCTTCATCGCGGAGAGCTCGTCTTCGACGGCGGAGCCGGCCTCGAGGGCCTTGAACTTGGACTCCATGTCCGCGGTGGACGCGCCGAACTGGAGCTGGCCCGAGACCTCGGCCTGCGTCTCGAGCATCTCGACCTTCTCCTTCATGCGCTCGAAGGCGTCCATGGACGACGAGCCGCCGACGTCGGAGAGCATGTCGTTGACCTTGGTCGCCGTCTTGGCCGTGCGCGCGCGCGCGATGTACTGGTCCTTCATCGATTTGGCTTCGGAGATCTTCGACTCGAGCTGGGTCATGGAGTCGTAGAGCTTGGCCAGCGAGTCGGTCTGGACGGCGATCTGCTCGTCGAGACCCGCCGACGCGTCGGTCTGCTGCGTCTTCCGGCTCAGCGCCTCGCGCGCGAGCTCGTCGTCGCCCTTCTCGAGCGCGAGCTGCGCGCGCTTGTACCACTCGTCGGCGAGCTGGTCCGCCTGGTCCTTCTGGCGCTGCATGCGCTTCTGCGTCGCCATGACCTCGGCGTAGGACTGGCGGATGGTCACCAGATCCTTCTGGAGGTCGTCGACGGCCTGGTTCAGCACCTTCTCCGGGTCCTCGAGCCTGCGTGGGGAATGCGTTTAAAAACGGCCAATCGCGTTTCGCGGCGACGCGGGGCGACGCGCTTGCCCAGCAGGTTGTTCGCGTTCGCCTTGGCGACGCGCTTGAAGCGGTCGAACATGTTCATGTGCAGCGCCGCTGGCGCCCGCCGCCGCGCCGCGGCGAGGGGACGCGCGGGCAGGCCGCGCCGCGGCGCGAAGGCCGTCGCGAAGACGGCGACGGCGGCGACGAATGCGACGGCGGAGCGGGCCATGGCTCTGTCTCGACCGGCGCGGTGCGGAGGCTGCGTGGGCGTCGGCGTGGCGGCTTCGGATCGGGACGATCGGGCTCCGCTCCGGCAGCCTCGCGCTCGTCGCCTTCGGCACCGGCGCCAGCGGCCCAGAGACCGCCGCGCCGCCGCGCCGCCGCGCCGCCGCCTCCCGGCGGCCGGCCGCCACCGTCGCGCGCGCCGGCGGTGCATGATCCTACCGGTGATGATGGCTCTCGTCGGGCGCTTCCTCGCGCGCGAGCTCGAGCTCGTCGTCGTGTCCGCCGGCGGCGAGGCGTCGAGCGCGTTGCCCCGGCCGGCGGCGGGCCGGCTCCTCGTCTTCCCGGGCTCCTTCGACCCGCTCCACGAGGGCCACACGCGCCTCGCGGCGGCGGCCGCCGAGGCCGTCGCCGCGAGGGACGGCGGCGCGGCGCCGACGCTCCTCTACGAGATCTCGCTGGCCAACGCGGACAAGGGCGCGGTCGACGCCGACGCCGCGGGCCGGCGCCTGGCCCAGTTTGAGGGCGTCTCCGCGGTCGCGCTCACGCGGCGCGCGCTCTACGTCGACAAGTCCGAGCTTTTGGGGCCCTGCGACTTCGTCGTCGGCGCGGACACTGCAACACGAATTCTCGACGCGAAGTACTACGGCGGGCGGCGGGGCTTGGAGGAGGCCCTCGACACGCTGCGGGACCGCGACTGCGGCTTCGTCGTCGCCGGGCGGCTCGACAAGCGCGAAAACTTCGTGCAGACGCACGCCGCCATCGCCGGCGCGCCGGACGCCTACCGGGACATGTTCCTCGAGATCGCCCACTTCAGGCACGACCTCTCGAGCACGGAGCTCCGCGCCAAGGCCGCGGCCGAGGCGGCGCGGGGGTAAGCTTGGTGGTATTGGTGTGTTCGTCGGTTATCCGAGTGTGCTGCGCCTGCGGCAAAGCGGCCGCGGGCGTCGAGGCTGCGGGCGTCGTGGATGGCGTCCGTCGACGTCGCAGGGAGGAGTCCATGAAATCAATTTAGCCTGTCGTACCAGTGGACCCCCGGCGATCGGTACCCCCGGCGCCCGGCTCGACTTTGGGCGAGGTGCTCAGCTTTGGTCGCCGACGGGCTTGTGCAGTGCGATGCGGCGTCCTTTTGAGCGCCGCAGAGAGGCATATGAGAGATTTAACGGCTAATCTGCGAGCTGGGTGACGGCGGAC